TAGCTAGAGGAAGAGCATTCTAGGCAGAAGGAACTGCATAGAGCAAAGGGCCCTGATGTGCTTGCCTGTTGGAGAAACAGTAAGGAGACTGGTGTGATCAAAGATGAAGCTGGGGGAAAACGGAGTGGGTAAGCCTGACTTTCTACTTTCTGATCGTGAGGGTGTTTTTCCAACTTTTTATAAAGCTTAGAATGAAGATAATTTACCCTTTAAAGAGATTTATGTATTGACTTGTAAATATGGACACAACAGAGTTAAGTCAAAGTCAAAGCAGGTAACAAAACAGTATACATACAATTCTTTTCAACTTTATAAAAAAGCTCCATATAGATGTGGCCCTCACTTTCTACTTTACACACTTAAAAAACTTTGGGGGGAAAAATCGATCCTTTAAATATCCTCTTTGGATTGTAGGCTTCTTGAAATCAGGAGAAATGTTTTTGTGGCCACACAGCAAGTAGAATCACGCCCCTGCTGGTGGGGTTGCTAGTGAGTAAGCCCCCAATATATAGATACGATTTGAGAGAATGTGTGCTCAATTATTCCTGTTTCTTGTTGAATACGGGTTTTCTATCTCGTTCCCAACATATTTCCTACAACTGGTGCCATTCTTTTGAATTCCTTTGTAGTGATCTGGAATTTTCCTGTTGGACTTTCCCATTTGCAGTTCAAATCCACGCTCAGCATAAGGTGTAACCAACCAATTTGGTTTCTTATATCTTCCTTCCTGGTTAGGAATATAGCCCATTCTCAGTTAAGTTTACACATAAAGACCCCCTTGGGGCTTCCACTGGGGGTCTTTCTTCCCATTGAATTATTCCCATTAATTATCCAAGTTGTTTAACTGTCGAAATATTTTCCATAATATTTAGAATGGAATATTAGAATGGAAATTATGGAATATATTCCATAAATATTTAGATGACTTTGGTATCAGTTTCATACCTGTTGCAATTCCATTTGATGACCGCCATTAAGTTATTTTTGAGATTCCTACCCATAAGCATACATACCTCTTTGATTCTTGTTTCCAGGAACTATTTTCCAGCTGTCTTTGTGGTGGGAAGCTCAGCTCCCACCAAGCAGTCCTTGCTTTAGAATGGCTTTGATGAATGACCCGCAGGAGCCATGCCAGTCCCTGAATTATCACATAGCACCCGAGGTGAGAAACATCGAGTGCTGTCTGTTGTTGCTCCACCCCACCCTATAAGAACAGATTAAGGAAATACAGTTTCGTTTGGCACCGTTCTGCTGTTTTCATTCTTCAGATCCTAAATATGCACATACACTTTGACCGTTCAATAGTCCACGGTGCTGGAGCTGGGGCCTCACCGTGCTTCACCTCATTGACTGGCGACACCTCCAAAAGCAGGGTGGCTGCAATTTGTGCCCAGTGCATCCGGGGTGCATGACGGCCAAGTACAAACTTGAAGTCGGCCGCTTCACAAGCCAGGTGCCCTAGTGTCTGTAAGAGGAACGTTCTCTGCTTTTTGCTGAACAGATCACCATGCTAATTTTCCCCACGAGCACAATCCAGACACTGCATTTTTTTTTGATTCAAAATGCCATTGTACAGCTTATCTATTCCCTCTGTCCTGCTACTCTAATTATGTAAATTATCCTGTCACATTTAATTCGTACCTATCAAAGAGAGCAACACAGTGGACATCACCACTACCAGAGAACCACTCAAGTTGAGATATCAGTATCACCCCCACATATCATCAGAGTATTATTATTTATATTGCTGTTATATCAGGTTACTAATGAAACAGAAACCCTCATTACCAACTCCCCTCCCCTAACCAGTGCCTTCTTGTTCCTCCCATATGTGACATAGGACCAAAGGGTCTTGCTTTGTGCCCTAGAAGGGCCAGGCAGCAATAATAAATGAAGCTGGGAGTTTTTCTTTCTCACCTGGCAGCAGTCTTTTTCTGTCTTAAATAAGGGATTCCTTACTGCCCGGGATTCCCATCAGTACTGCTCCTGACCCCTGAACACAGACCCAGACCCTGCAGGGCTCCCCCACCAGCTCCAGCTCCTTCCACCACCCCTGCTCACCCTTCAAGGCCTGGGGTGGGAGGGCAGAAGCAGGATGGAGAGCCAGGCAAGAGGACTTCCCTTCCCTTCTCCGTTCTCCCTTCTCCCATCACCGATTTCTGACCGGCTGTCGATCCTATCAGGGGTCCATAAAGCGAGGAGGACTCTGGCCCGGGAGAGGGGGGTAGGGGTTAGGCAAACAGGCCAGGGAGGCAGTTGGTTGAAATTTAACCACAATATTCTTGGTCTCTATTGTTTTGAGTGAGGCCCAATATTTCCACAGCAGGATTATAGGATCTGATTAACCGTGTTAGACAACAATGCCGTACTGGGATGGGCTTCCCCTTCCAGCTGCCAATATGAAAAAGTCAATACAACACCCAGATCTCAGAAGGGACTCCCAGCAGGCCCCAAACCCTACTCCCCAATTCTAACCCTGGCCCCAAAGTGAGGGTAGGGAAGAAGAGTGTGGCACTGAATGATCCTTTAACTCCTGGCCCTTGGCCCAACAGGACAAGTAATCCTGGCACAGTCTTCCCAGGTGAGTCAATGGCCGTGTGAGCCCCACACCCTGGAGTTCTCTCAATGCCTCTTCCGGGTTCCCCTGGGGTGGCCCCGATTCCCAGGAACCCATGAGAGTTGGGTGCTGAGACGCTAGCCCCCGACTCAAAGGGTCCAGGAGTGCGGAAAGCAGAGCAAAATCAGCTGGGCTCCAGGATAGAGAAACTGAGTGCAGGTGGGACTTCACAGCTTGGAGGGACTGAGCCTTTGCTAGAATGCGTTGGTGCTACTTAATGACTTCCTACGTGCCAGGGAACAGAAATGAGGCCCTGGAATTGAGGGGAAGCATAGGGGCCACCATAAAGCAAAGTCTCAGGAGCTGAGAAAGCGTTCCTCAAAGGGTCTGGGACGAGGGAGCACAGACAGAAACCTCTACCTGAGGGAGCTCCTAAAGCAGAGAGTCCCTAAGGTCCCTCCACCTCACACAGACAAGCACCTCGTGCCCTGCCCCCCTCGGGATGTTTCCCCTCACGGTGGGATCTTCTGAGGCCCTGTCCAAGAGAACAGGGAAGGAAGACAGAGTGATAAGGAGCCCTGGACAAGAGTGCTATATATCAGCTCCCAGGAGGTCACAGAGGCAAGGAAATCCTCCCTCCACAGCGCGGGCTCCCTTCTCTTTGGCATTTCTCTCTGTATCTAAGTGCCTAGCGTCACCCTATACAATTCTGTGAGCAACAGTTACGATGCTGGGAACAGGGACTAGGAACCAAGGGTCTTGAGCTCTGAGTTTGGTGGGTTCCTTGTAGTATGTCACTCACTCTGTCGTCCCCAGTGACAATGTCAAGAACGGGACTAAACCCAGGACCAGAAGAAGAGGCGCGGCCTTTTCCATTTCCCTCCTCCTGCCATCTCGGCACAGAGAATGACACAGGGCTCCAGTTCACCTCCCATCAGACCAGGGCAAAGGAGGAGGTGAGGGCTTCGGAGAATGGGAGGTTTAAATGAAAGGGAAAGCAAGAAAGGAGAGTTCAAATGTTCCACGGGATAAAACTAAGCAGCAATAGGGCTGAGCGTTCGAGCATCTGTGCTTCCCGGCAAGTGCGCACTGTGGGTGAACCACGTCAGGCCCCTGGAAGGATCTTGGTCTGACAGCGACAGATTCTTTCCCAGTCCAGCGCACAGGGGCAGGGGTCTCTCTCTGCCACCTTACAGCCTAGGAATTCCAGAGCTCGCTCCTCAGGATTCAGTGAGAAGACAGAGATGAGAAGCTCCTGCCTCCCTTCTCAATAACTTTGCTACCCTTTGGAAACACTCCTTGACCTGGGAGACCAGCTGGCTGGTGACAGGAGAAAAGAGAATGACCCCCGTGGGCTTTTCCAGGACCCAGCTCGGGCTCTGCCCTCAAGGGCTGCTGGGAAAGCCCTCGGTGAGGCCTGAGCACAGGAGGTGCTGCTCAGCTGGAGTGCTAAGGGATGAAGATTTCTCCTCCAGCAAAGAGCTGCCCTGTCCTGGCTGACTGTGGGGGAGGGGTGAGCCAGCCGGCAAGGCCAAGTAGGCCTTGCAGCCTAGGTGGCGCTATTTCTCTACTTTTTAGGTCAAGTTCCTGCAGGAACTTCCTCGAGGTCCCTAGTCCTGCTCCTGGTTTGCTGGCTTGCTCGTGTAAACCACCTTATATTATTTTTTTTTCTAAAAATACTCCAAAGCAATTGAAAGAGTCCCTTCTCCCACCAGCCAGCCCTGGCCCCAGCCCCGGCCCCGGGGAGCGGGCGGGGAGGCGGGGAGGTGGGCCACCGCTTTATTAAACACAGGGAAAACTAATATTTACGGAATAAAATTTATGGAGCAGCCACGAGAATTCGACCCTTTTATGTGCATGTGGAGTGGGGGTTGGGCCAGGCTGGGGGCCTTGGGGAGGGGCCCAAGCCAGGGGGCAGGGCTGGAATACAGCCTGGCCGGGCCAATTTGTCAAGGCAGGGATTTCCCTGGAGTTGCCCTGGGATGAATGATTCTCAACCACTCCTAGCTTTGGGGGGTAAGAGCTTGGGGCAAGAACGCCGGAGGCAGGGCCTCTGGGAGCAATGTTTCTCTAAGGATGTGTTGGGGCCAGATCCCCATGGAGGCCGCCCCCTTTGGGGAGAAAGGGAGCAGTGGGTGGGAAGGTCGTTAGGCATATTCTTACCCGACCTTTTAAAAAAGGATACATTCCTTTTGAGAACATGAAAAAAGTTATGCTTTTAGGATGGTCCTTACAATTTTGGGGGATTCACAAACCTCTGATCCCCTATGATTAAAAATGCCTGCTCTGGAGACTGTCCTCTTAGGGCAGAGAGAGTATCCAGGGTGAAGAACCCATCTTCTTGCTTGCTGGGGAAGTCTTGCCATTTTCCATGTGGTCTCATATCTTGATACTGAAATCTGGCTATCAAATTATGCCGAAAAGAGACTAAAGAACCAAGGGAGCCATCTGATAGATTTTTACATAGTTCCTCATTCATTTCGATGACAGTCAAGACCATGGGGTGCACCCGGGGGCTCTGTGGTCTAGAGGTAAAGAAAGTTACCAGCAGCAACTGGGAATCAGCCCTGATGGAGCCTTCAGACTCTGCCAGCAGGCAAGGCATGGGGCCCAGTCCTGATGTCCTCGAAGGCTCCTGCCCTGAAGAGCCAATGGAGACAAGAACATCCTCCTGAAAGGAGGCAAGGTCATGGGAGAAGGATGTTACCGTGGAAGACGGGAGAGAAGGACCTCACATCGCTCCTGGAAAATGTTTTCAGTAATGTATATAACGCAGTTAAGAACTCAGCTGTCTGGGTGCAAATTCTGGCTCTTACTCATTAGCTGTGTGACCTTTAAGTAAGTCACTTAATCACCTCAAGCCTCCATTTCCAAGTGGCTTAACAGTATCTTCCTCATGTGATGCTGTGAGGATTCAATGTCAGGCGCTTATTAGAGTACCTAGTATCCACTAACTGCTCAGGAACTTTATCATTGTGTTGTTCTTATTATGATCATTATTACTGCTTGGATTGTCCTCTCTCCCATGACTTGACATGAGGACAGAAACACTAGTCCCAGCTAGAGAATATGTGAAGGAGCAGGCACTTGACCATCAGCCATAAATAAAGCAGAAAAGCCCTCTGTGGGTTCTGACCTTGACCCCTTCCTCCACCTAACAATTCCTCTCTCCAAGTAATGTCGCATAGGGTCTTACCTAGAGAGGAAAGCCTAACGGAGAAGGCCAAGGGACTTGGCCAACACTGGTCTGCTAAGTCTTGCTAGATTTGTCAGAGTTGACTTTCCAACTGTCTAAGGCTCTGCCTATCCTACAGCCTTTACATTTTCTCTCGCTAAGCACGATTCATTCTACAGGTCAATTCTGTCATCCCAGAGAACTTGTGTGGCCATTTCCTGTTCCCTGTCATCCTGTCTTTCCTAGTTCTTCTAGTTACCATGTTATTTGAAGTGGAGTGAAGGAGGGGAAAGTAAAATTCATTTTTCTCCCACTGTAGTGGGAAACTACCTTGGTCCTAGTGCTTGAGCTCTTTCTAATTTTAATCCCCTACTGTGGTTTAACCTATCATCTATGCCTTGGTAACACACCAAAAAACCCACATCAAGTTGGACAAAGGAGAGCAGCAGCCACCTGTTCTGCCCTGTGCCCACCATGGAGAGTTTTCAAGATCGAAGTTCCCAAACAAAAGCTCGGCACCGGCCACCTCAGAGAAGCATAAGGACTGAAGGACTGGACTGAGGGCTCAGGCTTCATCCAGAGAAGACAGTGGGGTGGGGCCCAGCAAAGTGCAGTGGGTTATGTGTTCCACAGAATAAGCGCTCTCAAAAGCAAGGGGAGGTGAGTGGTTTTTATTCCATGCTAAAGAGAGAAGAGGGTCTCTGAGGAGCCCCTGGGACTGGCTAGGGACTCTTGAGAGAGGTAGCCAAGGCTTCCTAAGCAGGTTGTGCCTTTTTGCTGACTTGCCCTATATACCTAAAGTCCATGGTGTCTAGAGAACCTCCACCAAAAGGAGGAGAACATGGGATTCCCAGAGACTGGCTTCCAATTGGATAGGGAAGGCCAAAGCCCAGGGGGCTGGAGCCAAGATTCCCTCGGTTAACGGTACCCATTCAGGTGCCTGTCAACATGAACTTCAGTTGTCTGGCTCCTTCAGTGGGGCCTCTGACTGTATAACTGTGTCAGATAGACGGCTGCCACGGAATTCCTTTCAAGGTGACACTATTCTCCAAGTCCATCTTCAGCAGCTGAGAAAGTGACAGGTTAACTGAAGAGCCCCCTTAGCTTCTTCCTCTTGGCCTTTGACAGCTGAAGTCTCTGCATGGGGCCTGAAGTACCCTAGAAAAAAAAGTAACCCATGTTAATAGAGGTTTTCAACAGTTCCAGTTAAGTTAGGAAAGGAACTTCCTTCATCCCATGGCTCTGGCTAGGGTGAGGCCTTCTTGAAGGGGCTGACACGGGTGTTCTGAAGTCTATGTCAGGCAGTGAATGCTATATGAGATGCTATGCAGGAGACATGTGCATCCCTTCTTCCCCAGGGAAGAGCCTTGGAGACCATCACTGGAGGTGGGATAAGGTAGAAAAGGAGTCAAGGTCCATCATTCAGCACAAGAACTGTAGAGGAGACAGCATGGGAAGATGTGAAAACCATGACTCTCCATCTGGAAATCCACCATGCGGAAGCCTGGTGACAAACAGCCCCCAATATTGTTAAGGCGGTATCAACTAGGTGGCAATTCTAGGGACCACTGGCTTGGTGGCTGTCGGTGCAGACTCCGCCAGCTCTCAGAATGCCATCCAGGAAGCTGCTCAGGACTCACTGTGGGCTTTTTCTCCGGCGCTGGGAGGGATGGTGCTGAGGAGTCTGGCTCTTCGGGCTGGTTCAGAAGTTGTCCTTGAGGGGAGGCGCTGCTTGAGGTCTGAGGCTCTCCTGACATCAGAAAGATCAGGGAGGATAGTGATAAATGCCTTCTTCTTACCAGAAAGACACTGGCATTTACCAAGCATTTTGATAACAGGCCAGGGTTTGGTTCTAATATATAAGTAGGCAGAAGCAGCCACAAATCCAACTTCCGGCTGACTTTCGGAAAGCCCTGTTTCTACTGTGACGATCCCCCGGGCCCACTTTCACCAGGTAAGACAAGAGTTTCCTGGACTCAAAATAGACAACTGTTATTCTACACGTTTCCTGACATGTCTCAGGCAGGGAGATTAATCTTTCTCCTGGTTCTTTCACTAATTCTCCTTAGCACCTAGACCAATTCTAAGAGAACTGTCTGCAATGATGGAAATGTTCTATATCTGCACTAACTTGGTAGCCGCTCGTCACATGTAGCTGTTGAGCACTTGAAATGTGGCTAGAGCAAATGAAGAAATGAATTTTTCATTTTATTTCATTTTTATTACTTTAAACTTAAATAGTCACAAGCAGCTAGAGCTACTATATTGGACATCACAAACCTAGACCCTAACCCTAAGCTCAGGGAGACAAGTACCCCTGCGACCACTCACCAGTGCCTTGATGCTGCTGTCTCAATTGGACCTCTCGTCTGGTGACTGCCAAATACAGATTCTGTAGGTTCATGACAAAGGGTCTCCCATCACCAACACTGCATGCCTCTGGTAGTTTCTATAGGGGACAGGAAATGCTGTCATTGGTTACACTGAATGGCCAGAGAAAAGTGACTTGATATTCCACTGGCAGAACTGGCATCAACCCCAAAAGAATTTATATAAAGAAGCTGGATCCAGAAGAAGACAAAATTGTCCCATTTGCAACAACATGGATGGACCTTGAGGGTAGTATGTTAAGTGAAATAAGCCAGACTGAGAAAGACAAACACCGTGTGATTCCACTCATATGTGGAAAATAAACAAACACATGGACAAAGGGAAGAGATTAGTGGTTACCAGGGGAAAGGGTTGGGGGGTGGGCGAAAGGGGTAAAGGGGCACATATATAGGGTGACGGATAAAAATTAGACTATTGGTGGTGAGCACGATGCAGTCTATACAGAAACTGATAAATAATAATGTACACCTGAAATTTCACAATGTTATAAACCATTACAACCTCAATAAAATAATAATAATAAAATAATGAAACATTTCCCTAAAAAAAAGAGTTAGCTCCAATATGGGGCATCCATATCCAAGCCTGTTGGGACCAATATAAAGACCTCTTGGGAGGCATCTCCTCTGAAAGGTAACTTCAAATGCGTATCTTTATTTCCCCCAATACTGAGGTCTATTATGTTTTCCCATGAATACCCCATAGGTCTCTAGGCTCCTCCTTCCACAGGGATGACCTCTTAGGGGACAGTTTTAGGAAATTATCTTCCCTAAGTTGTCCCTAAGCTGTACAGATTACTATTTTAATTAAATTCATTTATAAACTTCCAAATATTCTAAATATTCTAAATATTAGAGAGAGAAAAAGGATGAAATCCAGGATGGGGCAGAGAGTGCAAAATGGGAATTGAAAGACAAGAAAAAATTATGAAGTTGTGATGTTCAGTCAGAGGAGATGGAAGAAATAAAGTTTACAAAGCATTGGAGGAAGATTCGCCCTGAGCTAACATCTGCTGACAATCTCTCTCTCTCTCTCTTTTTTTTTTTTTTGCTTGAAGATTAGCTCTGAGCTGACATCCATGACAATCTTCCTCTACTTTGTATGTGAGATGCCTTCACAGCATGGCCAATGAGTGGAGCAGGTCCACGCCTGGGATCCGAACCTGTGAACCCGGGCTGCCAAAGCCGAGTGCAGGGAACCTTAACCACTTGGCCACAGGGCCAGCCCCTGAAAATTGGTTCTTGAGGGATGAAAAAAGTCTGACTCTTTAAAGTAAAAGCACAGAAATACATAAACATAAACATAATTTTGGTATATCTGTAGAATTAAAATTTCCTTGGGGGGGTGATTAAGAAAAAAATAAAAGGTTCCTTAGGGAGCCTTTGAAATGATAATGAAAATGAAATGAAATAATGAAAAAAAAGTTGCGAAACACTGCTATAATCATACTATATTTATCTGTTTCCTTCACCATGGAATGAACTGTGGATGTAAATCCACAGCAAAATGCTTTGCCCAGTTCAAGTTTCATATTCTCAGCTGAACTGAGCTGAAATACTGGCCAAAGACTGAAGAGAGTGCAATACAAACGAGATGAACGAGTATGGTGTCCAGTGGTCCCAAACCTGGCTGCACTTCAGAATCTTGGAAAGGGCCCAGAACGACTTCATTTGTCCCCATGCATGCAAATCGTCACAGTTCTCAGCCGTCTCCAAGGGAAGCCATGCCAGCAGCTCATATGGGAACCAACCCAAGAATCCTAGATTGACCCACATCTCTTGTCAAGGGCACTTTCTCTGGGGTATAAGGGTGTTCATTTCTTTTTTTTTTTTTTTGAGGAAGATTAGTTCTGAGCTAACATCTGCTGCCAATCCTCCTCTTTTTGCTGAGGAAGACTGGCCCTGAGCTAACATCTATGCCCATCTTCCTCTATTTTATATGTGGGACGCCTACAACAGCATGGCTTGACAAGCAGTGCATAGGTCCACACCTGGGATCTGAACTGGCAAACCCCAGGCCACCGAAGCGGAATGTGCGAACTTAACCACTGTGCCACCAGGCTGGCCCAGGGTGTTCATTTCTGAAAACCTATCGTGGGAAAAGGATGGAAGAGAGAAGGTGGGAGAAGCAGCAAAGTAGTTGCTGAACCATAGTCAAGATGATCCAGTTACCTTTCCCTAAGTATGGTGGTAGCTGAAAAACTCATTGATCCCCAGGAAACATACATTTCTACTCCAACTCTATCCCCATAAAGACGCTATCAGTTTTGAACTTTCACTGGAAACCACAGACAATGAATCAGGAGGCTTGAGTCCAAACTTTACTTCTGGGCAGTAATCACAACTAGGAGTTCAACCCTCTTCAGCAGCATTCCCCGAGGAACGAACGGAAACAGGGAAGGCAAACGATGAGGCCGCACACCTCCACCTCACCCCGCTCTCCTCCCTCGGTTCAGCTCTCCAAGCCCTAAGCCACCTCCTCCAGCAGAAGGCCCTCTACAGCCAGAGAGCCTGATAGTGGAGCGGCCAAAAGCTGTCTTTCTTCCTTATAGCTCATGAATCTAGCACCTCCCTTCACATTGCTCAAGAGACGTGGCCTCTCTTGGGGTCATCCATACATGGCTGGGTAGGCACTGTGCTGTTTGTACAAATGGGCTGGGCAGAATCTCGGCAGTCCAGGGTCACCTCTTCCTGCCCTTTCCATGGAACTAAACAGACTCGTAAATTTCCCAGGGCGATCTTTAGCCAGCTCATGTATTCAGTCTCAAAACGAAGGGCCAGCAATGAAAGGCCACTAAAGCCAGTGCTGTCCTGAACCTAAGTCCAAATCTAGAACGGACGGATTAGCCCACCCTCTAGCCCTCCCCTTCTCAGAGAGGTCTGGTCCTGCGGCTGCTGCCAAAGCTTATCCCACCTGAGAATCTATTCTCAGAAAAGTACTGGGAAGAGAATACTGGGACATTTGCTGCATGTTTACTATGTGCCTGACACGGTTCTAAGTATTTAAATGCATTAACCCATTTTTGTCTTATGCACTGCTGTTTCCCTGGCACCTAGAACAACCTCGCCCATTGTAGGCTCAAGACTGTTTGTGAATGACTCAACAGGGCAGGCAACAGTATAACCCCATCTTACTGATGTAGCCACAGCTAGTAAGTGGTGGAGCAGGATTAGAATCCAGACAGTGTGGCTTCGGGGCCCACTCATAGAATGATGACCCTATTTTCTTCTCTGAACAGCAGAATTTTAGTCAAAAGGCAATACAGCCTTTCCCAGGATTATAATCCTTAATCCTTCACATCACAGATCATCTGATGATATCCATATCCAGCTCAGGAACAAGGTCCCTCAGGTGACAAGAAACAGGTGAGCAGACAAAAAGGAGGCAGCAGGCCCTAACTGGAAGCCCAGGGGCTAAGAGGCCATGCCTTTACTTTATTCTAGCTTCCCCGTCATCCCTGATTCCTTGGGCATCGTGCTCAGAATATGCTAGGGAAGAGAGATGGAGAGGCCCGAGCGTGGCAAGGAGAAACGGTTAGCTCCTGGGCAGGACAATGGCAGGGGCGAGTGGGGCGGGTGGCAGAGATCAAAGGGAAAAGGCTGGAGGCAGGATGAGGAAAAGCAAACAGGAATGCTCTGCTGTAAGTAGGACTGAGCCAGGAGCAAGGTGTACCAGCCAGCAAGCGGGTCACTGCCCAGGGCGAGGAGGGAAGAAGAGACAGGTCAGTCTACTGTATAATGTGTTCGTTTGATTAACCTAGAATCAATTCTACTCAGCGAGAGAGTGACCGAGATTCTACTGTGTGCCAGGCACTGCAGGACTGGGGGAGGGGAGATGGAGGCACCCGTCCTTCCCTCCTCAGAACAAGACGAGCTAGTACAAAGACAAGTAAAGGCAGAGGCCCCGCCTCAGAGAGTTTATATTCACATTGGGAAAAGTGCAGATATATGGGTTTTTCCCCCAAGCATTATGCACCAGCAGAGTTATAAACACAGGGTGTTAGGAACCCAGAGAAGAAGAAAGGGACGAATTCTGACTGAGAATCCTGCAGAAAGCTTCGGAGGTGGTGCCATCAAGTCAAGCCATGCAAGGTTTCAGACTTTGAACATGTTGGAAGTATCTGAGGCACAAGGTGTGAAAAGGGGACGCACAGACGGGTCTCCGGGGAAATGAGACTAGAAGGTGAAATTCACACCCACCAGCTTGCAAAGGGCTTCCTTTTCTGAATTAAGGATCCGCCCGTGCGAATTTCCTCTTGTTTCACCAAGTAGCTTTCTCCACTGTACAACTGCTTGCCAAGGCTTCCTTACTGCCAACTATTATTAATACAACAACGAGGCATCAGAAGCTTCCTCTAGTTTCCCTGTTCAGGCTCTCAGCTACATTCGTGCAAACTCTTTTCGTACCTCTTCACCACTCACCACTGGTACTGTGACTTTTCAATGGTCACAAGAGCTATATTACTCTCCCATCTCCAGTTCACTAGGACTCTGGCCCTGCTCTACGGCCATATCAGAAGCTTTAGGAAAACCAAACTTACAGAAATCCTAGAGGGCGTTTCATTTCCCTTCTCGTCCCAATGCAGCCCCTACTGGTCCTAGGGCCCAAACTCCCCTCTTTGTGATAGCTTCCATCTTCATCAGGTCTAAAACTCATTCCTAGTGGTCCAGAAATTCCAAGACTCCCTCCTACTCTTGGATCCCAACAGGATCTGTTGGAGAGATCTCAACTGCCACTTCCCACTAGAACTAAGAAGTCTGATCTGTTCTCACTCCCACCCTTCACCTCCATCTCATCCCTCCTTTCCTCTGAGGCTGTTTCAGAAAAGAAACCTTTAGGGTCCCGGGTAAAGAAAAGTACTGCTTACCCTATTCAACAGGGGCCCACAGGCTGAGCATACAGATTTAATAGAAGAAAAAGGGAAATGAGCAAACTGGAGCTCCCCAGCATCAGCCGTGAGCAGGTCTTTGGTTCTGGCACCAGCCCCAGAAGCTGGCACAGCCCTCAGGCCCTGACACTGACCGGCACAATATCACACCTGCAGGGCAGGGCCCCCAA